TTATAGTTGAACTGCAAAGGAGGATGTCCTTCCATTGATCTGATTGCAGGTGAAGAATGTCCTCCCATTGATCTTATTGAAAGTGGTCATGGCGAAATGCTTCCACCGGATCTTCATATCCTCCTGGACCGCATCGATCCTCTCAATAGTTCTATGGAGCGCGCGGTCTCTCGTGTGAAGTGGAGCACGGTGCGTGTAAGGACGGTGAGTATTTTGTTCGTGTCTTCTGACTGTTTTTTTTGTGCTTCCAGCCTTATTCGCAACGCTTTCCCCTCCTGCTTCAGCCTCTTCTCTCCAAACTCCCTTTGTTCCAGTGCATACAACCTCATTCTAATTTTTGTCTCCCTCTTTTCTATCATTATCGGTTTTTTCTTCTGGTCTCCAACCGGTTGCAGCTACGCTTCAAACACCCCAATCTCCTCCTTTGTTTCATCTTCAAATCGCTTAATTTCAAAATCAAAATGAGCGGCTCAAGCTGCAGCCTCCTCCTAGTCAAACTGCAGGGTGGAATCATAACTACACCCTGCTTCTGCTTCCTCAGGGAGCACGTACTCTACCATGCCTTCCTCCCCCGTCTGCATGTGCAACTCTAGTTTCTCCTCTTCTGCCTCAATCTTTTTTTGTGCCTCCTCCAACTGCTTCTCCATATCTTCCTCTAACTTCTTCTTTCTTCCTCCATTTTCTTCTTCAGCTCTTCCTCAATTTTCTTTGTTTTCTCCTCCTCCTTCTCTTTCATCTGCTGGTCTATCTCCACCTGTTCTTTCGGCGTGTACGACATAGTTCCTCTGCCGGACTTGGTGACCACGGTCATCCTAGTGGTCCGGTGGAAACCCAGCGGAAAAATGAATTGCAAAAGGGGCCGCCGTATGACGGATAGAAAAAGGAGAGCAAACATCGGGTAATCATTCATGGCGAGATATCTGTACATCGGTAAGCATGCCCCACCTCCTCACCACGTAGACCTAACCCTAAACTCACAAATCTCAACACTTATCGTCGCCTGATTTGGGATCTGGCTCTAGAAATTGCATGGAAATTTCACAAAAAATGCGAAGGCCCAACAAGCAGGGCTAAGGGCAGAAAACACTTCACTTGGGTCTTCGCAATGGTGCTCCCTGTCGATCTTCGTCCTCTGCAGGTACATAGACCGCTTCCCAACCTTAATTTAGCACCATTTTTCCATTTTTTTGCATGCTGCAGTCAAAACCTGATACTATTCACACCCACCGGCCTTATGCTTTGTCGGCTTTCTTCCACCACCACAGTGCAACGGGTTGAACTTCCAGCTTGATACTAGTGCAATTAACCTTGCAAGAATCGGCAAGATTCGACTCAAAAATACAACATGCAAATTGAAAAACACTCAGATGAGGCTCACACAAGCTTGAGCGATGTCCATGAATAGTGCCAATTTGAAGTTTCACTCAAGTTACAATAATATACAATTGAAAAAGTTGGGACTGAGCAGTCTGAACCGCTCCAACATGACTCCCTAAGTACCCGTCTTCTCCCCCCTTCCGATCTGCTTCTCTCTCTCTCTCTCTCTCTCTCTCTCTCTCTCTCTCTCTCTCTCTCTCTCTCTCTCTCTCTCTCTCTCTCAGTGTGTACTTGCACTGTTCATCCCTTGATGCTCCTCACTACTGTTCCTCCTCCCTCAATGTTCTAGATCTACTCTGAATGCCTCTGTGGTGTGCCTTGCTGATCTCAGGCAGCTATGACTGTTGTTGGCTTCCTCCGTCTCGCGTGGCTCGC